TGGAGAGAGACATCCTCTTCTTTATCTCTGCTGGTGACTCTCCTTGTGTCAATGCACTCCACTGGTTGCTGGACCATCTGCATGGTGGTTGTGGCATGTAGCTGCTTTTGCAGCAGCCATGGTTATTAAGGTGGCTGTGGTGGGCCACCCACATGGAGGTGATGTTTCTGGCATGCTCCTTGGTACTGGTGGTGTGCCTGGTTGTGGGGAGTGTCTGGTCCCTGGCTCCATGCCTTGGGTCCCCAGGTAGGTCCCAAGGTGCTGGCACAGTGTGCCTGGTTGTGGGAGGGGGGTCCAGTCCCCACACCCATGCCCCAGGCCCCTGGGTGGGGCACCAAGGTGCTGGCAGTGTGCTTGGTTGTGGGAAGGGGGTCTGGTCCCTGGCTCCAAGCCCTGGACCCTGGGGTGGGGCCCCAAGGTTCTGGCAGTGTGCCTGGTTGTGGGCAGGGCACTCAAGTGCTGGTGGTGTGCTTGGTTGTGGGAGGGGGTTCTGGTCTCTGGCTCCCCTCCCCAGGTCCCTGGGTGGGCCCCAAGGCACTGGCGTGGTGTGCCTGGTTGTGGGATGGGGGTCTGGTCCCCTTCTCCATGCCCCGAGTCCTCTTTATAATATTTTATTACTTTTAAAATGTAATGGGATAATACTGATACATGAGTGACAACATTACAAATTACAAAATACATACCATGTGTCATAATTTTATATTGTACAATACAGCATATTTTTAAAAGTTCATGGAAAGATTCATATTTTATTACTTCTATTTTGCCATGAACTTTTTGAAGTACCCATATAAATAATAATAGTTTATTGAGGTTATATCTTGATTGATTATAAGATTTTCTCACTTGCTTTTTCACAAGTTTATTAGCAATTTCATTTTCAATTGATATAATTGCAAGTGACATTAGTCCTCCTGGCAAACAGAAGGTCACAAATACTTTTTGATATGTTTTTGTTTTGCAAAGGATCTTTCTGCCAATGTAACTTTTTTGGAACCCTTAAGAGTATTTTGTAGACTTTGACAACATTAGTATAAATTTCTAATAAATTACTTTGAAGTATAAATTCTAGAACACTTAGAACTGGTGATTTTCATGGAACAATTGTTTTTTCTAAAAAGATTGAACTCTTAATACAGATCCATTTTGTGTAAGCATAAGTATACTTTAAAATGTAAATGTATGGAATAGAACTTAAAGTTTTCTCTGACATATGCTGTAACTTGTGGAGGTTGTACAAGAAACTGAAAGTGGTTTCATGATTTGTATATAATTCAAAATACTTGTTTACATATTCCATCACTGTCTTCAATTATAAGGAAAAATGCAATAATTAGTTCTCCCTGAGCATCACACAAAAAAGTGTTCTTATCCATTGAATGAAATCTTTACACTTAATTTCTATTTATAAGCCTGTGGATTTAACTTTGCAATGTTGTAAAAAAT